TTTCATCAGAGTGTATGTTCTGATTTCAGACATCTAACTCTTTGTATGGTATATGGTGGAAGAACTTTGAAAAATCATCTCTGTTTTGAATGACTTATTGGGACTTTGAAATAGATTTGGCAAAATTCTTTTTTTTTTTGGTTTTTCGAGACAGGGTTTCTCTGTGGCTTTGGAGGCTGTCCTGGAACTAGCTCTTGTAGACCAGGCTGGTCTTGAACTCACAGAGATCCTCCTGCCTCTGCCTCCCGAGTGCTGGGATTAAAGGCTTGCGCCACCAACGCCCGGGTCCAGCAAAATTCTTAATCTGTCTTTAGTTTTTTATGTTTAGTTATTAGCAACCTCTTCCCATCCTATTATCTCATAGTTATTACACAAAGTTTGGTGAATGTAATAACTTTAGCAACCTATAGCACAAATTTTTCCACTGAGGTGTAACATATCTACTAATCTCCTATCAACATATTTAATAAATTCATTGATTTATGAACTTCTTTTTTCCTGTGACTGTGCCTGTGACATGTTATTCAGGGGGAACTTCAGTTTGTGTTTTTAGGAAGTGATTACTTGAATTTGACTTAGAATACTCTCATTCCTTTCAGGGCAGGAGTTACGGATTTGAAATGACAAAATAATTGAGATGTGAAACAAGTTGTGCCATCAAATATATTTATATATGATAAGCTTTAGGGGTATTTAAATATGATCAAGTATAATAAAGAAGATAAATAGAGGTAAGTAAACAAAGGGGAAGGGAAAAGAGCATGAGAGGGGCATAACTATCCAGATGCAGATGATGCCCATGTCACCATTGGTAGGATACATGCCTACAGCTAAACACAATGGATGCTTTAGGTAAGAACTGGACAGCATGACAGGAAACAATAGGCAGCCCTCCTTCTCTCCTCAAGCTCAAGTTTCCTGCTACACACAGGTAGGTATGGCAAAGAAAAACTACAGCCTCTTAGGTTAGAACTGTTAAGATAAATGTGATATTCCCCAATCAAAACCAACACCAGTCATATTATTTTCAAATGAAGATTTGAGAGTTCATCATGTTTTACTAATTGGAATCAAAATTACAAAAAACACCACGTTTTATTAGCTTGTTACATTGAAACCTTTGAAAATATTGGCTGGGATTGTGCCCCCGTTTATCTTTCTACTCTCTTTCCCTCTCCAGTGAAGTGCATACTCAGGATTTAAAGAGCACTTGAGGGGTTCCTGGAAACAGAATGAATGGTGCATGGCAAGATGACTGAATAAAGAATTCTGACTGATGAAAGACTGATTTTATTTGCCACTTTTCCTTTTTATCAAAAAAACACTTTGAGAAAGTCAAACCAGAAAGGGGCATTACATTAATGGGCTTTAAACTGTACCTAAGGGTACACAAGAGCTAGGATTTGTTTTTTGTTTTTTGTTTTTTCTTACCAAGACTAAGCTGACTCTTACCTTTTAGTGGTAACTGGTTTATTGACTGCTAATGCTTTAAAAATAAGATTAAGTCAGGACCATGGTCTTTATTGCAAAGAAGATATATGGCTCTTGTGAATTCTAGTGGTTTGGCAATCTTAACCTCCGCACACATAACATTGATGTATTCGATGTTGCCAAACAGCATGGTAAGTGTTTAAAATGCTGTGAAGAACCTTATTGCCTTGAAATGATACAATCTAATATTAGACTGCAACTCAATGACTGTATCCCTGAGCCTACCATTCTACAGAATACTAAAGTCAAAGCCACTTTATTTTAATATCTCACAGGGAAGGAATCATTCCTCATTTCACCACAGAAACAGAGAAAACAAAACTGAACCTGGATTGCAGGAAAACAGAAATACAACATTCAGGACATTTTCATTAGTAGTACAGATAAAGCTGCCTTTGTAATGGCATCAAAATGCCAGTCTGATTCATTCCTGTTGACAGAGTTGTTTTGGCCTCCTGGACAGCAGATGGGTAGGATCCATTATTCCAGAAACATACCAGCTACATAAAGTCAAGCATGTCACTCTTCTCAGATATACAACCTTTCTCTATTCCTGTCCCAATTGTCCTCTTAATTAACCACAATTAGCATTAAAGTTACACCCCCCCTATACTTTATATGCATCAATCAAATTCCAGACACTCATCAGTCAGTGACTCCAGGTAAATTAAATGTTGGTTTTCATGATGAGAATTTCTCCCCACTTGTCTCCCAAGGACAGTGGTCCTCAAGCTGTGGGTCATGACCCTTTGGGAGGGTTGAATGACCCTTTCACATAGTTGCATATCAGATATCATGTGTATCAGATACTTACATTATGACTCATATCAGTAGCAAAGTTACAGTTATGAAGTAGCAATATATTATGGATGGGGGCCACCACAACATGAGGAACTCTATTGAAGTATTGCAGCAATAGGAACTTAAGAAACATTATCTTAAAATAACCTTACTGAATCAGGCTGGGTTGCAATTAAGTATAATGAACAAAGATCTCAGTTTAGCCTGGCCACTGAATGGTTTCCAGAATACAGGACATCCAAATGCCAAACTCAAGTCCATCAAGGACAAATCAGAATGGTTGACTATTGTGCTGATAACGAGGTCACTACCCAGAAGAACACATTAGCTAAGGAAAATGTTATGTAACTGATATGGATGAGCCTAATTTAGTGTGCTATATCAAAATACTAGAAATTGAGTAGTCTATATATGGTAGGAGTTGCTTTCTCACAGTTCTAGTAACTGGACTTCTGAGATTAGGGTGAGCAGAATTTGGTTTCTTTATGGCCCTTTCTGGGTGACACGTTGTTGACTATTTCCAAGCATGTTTTAGCTCACTGTATGCCCCACTTTGGGACATTAATTGACCCAAAAGTAATCCTTCCTCATAATGCTAGCAACTTCAGAGTCAGAATTGCAACATGGTCATTCTGAGGAGTCAAAACCATTGGTTATAAGTTTCCTTGGTGTACAAAAGATGTCAATGAATGTGGCCGGAAGCTAAGCTGAATTTGGATTCTTAACAAACTGGTGTGAAATCCAGGTCTTCACAGCCTCACATTGTACCTTTCCATTACTGAGAGAGTTTGTGTGTGTGTGTCAGAGAGAGAGAGAGAGAGAGAAAGAGAGGGGGGAGGAGAGAGAGAGAGAGAAAGAGAGAGAGAGACAGACAGACAGAGAGACAGAGAAGAGAGAAGGAGAGGGTAGAGAGTGCAGAGAGAGAGGAGAGGGGAAGAATTTGGTGGTATTCAGGGCCATGCTTAACTCCCTTAGTGTTATTTGCAAAGATGAGAGTTCTTATTTTGACTAATCTTCCAGGATACATCTAGACTAGATGACATCTACGACAGAATTAAATGCCTGGATAGCGCTCTTTTCGCCACTATGCTTGCTTCATTTTTTAGTGAATATTAAAGATTAACATTGGAAATAGCTTCCAAATATGTTTAATCATTAGATGAACGTAATTTTATTTTATGTTCTGTTTACTGTATTTGGTATTCATATCAAATTGCACATATATATGTACATATTTATTTTACATATACATACAAACACCAGCATGTGCAATGCATCACAGTCAAAATATAAGTTAGGTCATTACAGAAACAAGAAAAGCAAAGATTTGATGCCTTTCCTCACAGATCTAACACTACATGGGTTACAGAAAATACTCATGGGCATTATCTAACTGAGAAGATTGAGCAGGTATGGCAACATTCTGACTCACAGAATGCCCCACCCATCCAGTTTACCTGATTTCTGCATATTTTGATGATACAGATGAAAAGGAAAGTGTCTATGTCAACCTTGAACATTGAGATGACATTCAATAAGGGAGATGCATTTTAAAGTACTAATGGAACACTTTTATTTCTCACTTGTGGTCTATGTTATGGATCCGGACACTGTGATTAAAATAAAATGGACTGCTGTCAGGGCTTAAAGCATCAATTTTACAAGAGTTTAACAGCATTGAATCTGTAAAATAGAATTGATTAGGGTATGATTTTCTAATATTTCATTAATAAAACGTCCTCTCATTCATGTAAGTAGTGAATATACTTGAGTCAGCTTTGCTTTGAAAGCAAATCACCCAGATATGTGCATGCTACTGAGATGCACCTGCTGTTTTCTAAGGTAATTGCAAAAGGAAAGTTAGGAAAATATCTTGAAAGATGAGCCATTTAACCCTCTTTTATCTCATTTACAAATTACTCTGTTGGTGGCAAAACTAAAATACGACCATTATGGATAAGTTTCTCAGAAAACTAATAATATATTCAGCATAAGGTATTTCAAGTATGTCACTGGGTTGATCTATGTATCTCCTAGGGATAAATTTAATGAGACAAGGGGACATGCCTCTTGCAATAATAAACACAATGCCAACGTTTAGAATCAACCTATGTGGCCATCAGCAGATGAGAAGGTAAAGCAACTGTGGAATACAAGCACAATGAATCACTATTAATCCATAACAAGGAGGAAATCTGCCAGCAATTTTGCTGAACCTAAAACATAATATGCTAAGTAAAATAAGTCAAAAAGGAAAAGATACATAATTCATGTTTTTATATTCCATACATGTAGAACTAAATTATTACATTCACAGAAAAAATAATAATAATTAACAGAGGCTTGGTGGGTTATATGGGTGAGAAATGGTGGCTGTCAGACAGTGGGACAAGTACTAATTAGAAGAACAAATATAAATTCTGGACAGATTACTCAGCATGGCGGCCATAGCTATGATTTTAATGTGTGTTTCACCATTGCTAAAAGAGTAATTTCAAATGTTCCAACACACAAATAACTATGTAAAGTTAACTTGATATAATTTATAATCACGAACTACCATATGACAACTTATAAGATATAACTATTTTAATTATAATAATAAGTCTCAAAATGTACATTGTTTTTAGAAGGAGTATTTATTATCCCTAAAAAAGCACAGAAGAGAGATACGAGAAGTAGGCGAAAACAAAAAGATATCTACATACCTGCTACTGCAACTTTTGCTATCCGGCTAATAATGGAGCCAGAATCTCCCAAGGATGCCTCGCATTGGTAAAGTCCTTCATCTGGCTTATGGTGTCTGGAATGAAGTATGTTTTGTATCAACAGAGACCCATTAGGGAGTTGCTGCTTCCTGTCATCCATGCCCAAGGCTAGGATGAGGCCATCCTTCTTCCACTTGATGACTGGAACTCCCCTGTCAGACTCTGCAGAGCAGTTGAGCAGGACATTTCCACCCCGCATGGTGACAGCATCAGAAGGTTCAGAAACGAAATGAAGGGATGTGAAGGGTTTGATTTGAAAACCTGGAATAAGAGCAAAAGGGAAATGAATTCATGTATTCTAAGAAATTTCAACTTTAATTTCTCCAACATTTCCTCACAAAACTTATTTCTCAAAAAGAACCTTTTTTCATCTCCAAGTATGGATAAAGTTAAGATCAGGAATATTGTCTTTCAAAAAAGAAAATATTCGTGTGAACACCAATTAATAAAATGACTAGACCTGAAAATATATTGCTAATAAAAATAATAATTCATGTTATGGATAAGAGAGTATGATTATATATCAGTCATTACTTGAAAATTTAGACAGATAAAAATGAGTACTTTTCATATAAAACCATGTACTTTTACAACTCAACAATCAGTGTGACAACTAGGATTAGTGACACCTGACCAATTTCATTATTTGCATTTTAGCATTTGTTATTAATGTTTTAATCTACCCATTTTATTTTACAAAAATAAAATCAGTATTATAGACAAAGTTATTTAGAATAGACCGCAGGTGGGTTTAACATAGATAATTTCACATGCCTGAGAAAGTCATAAGGTTACTGCCTAAAGCCCCTGAAGTGACTCTATATGTTTCCAGAAGTTTCTTGTGTGCTTAGCTAAGATAATATTATAGTTGAATTGTCATGAGCATAAGCAGTCAATAGAAGGATTAGAGTAGTATTTAAAAATCCTGAGGGAAGCCGGGTGTTGGTGGAGCACGCCTTTAATCCCAGTACTCGGGAGGCAGAGGCAGGCAGATCTCTGTGAGTTCGAGGCCAGACTGATCTACAGAGCAAGTTCCAGAACAGCCTCCAAAACAATACAGAGAAACCTTGTCTCAAAAAAACAAAACAAAACAAAAAATCCTGAGGGGATAGAGCAGCCATAACTAAAGAAGATTGTTGTATAGTTATTAGTAGTACTCTGATTGATAAATAAAAGGCCTTGCAAAGTTCTCAGGAGGTCATTGGGTTCGCATGCTTTGAACAGACAGGTGTGTGTCTAAATAATTCAAATCAAGACACTTTCAATTTTGAACAATCACTAAGGCTAACAATCCACAATCTCGCCTAGTGTTTTCTTTCTAACACAGCATCATTGTTAAATGTGCAACTGAATTCTTTGGCTACTATTTAATCCCACTTTATTCTGAACCATTTGCATGAAAACATACATGTGATAATCAATTTCTTGCAAGTGTTCTTTATTCATTTGAAGCTGCATTTAATTTCATAAAACTACCTATAAATCAAACTTTCTTCTCACATGGTAGCCATGGTTTCTTTAGCATTCTTAATTTATTTGGAATAGGAATACTGTTGGTATTTTGTGAAAATTTACTATTTCCCTAAGATTTAAATGGCAGACATATAAATTAATGTAATTGACATTATCATGGATTGATGTATGTTGACTCTCATGGTCAGAATCATTCCTGATCTCCACTGAAAATACCGGTATTACAGCTGTTTTCTTCCAGGGTCCCTAGTGCACACACCCAGTATTTCTAAAGCTGGACCTCAAATTTGTGGTTTTTTTCAATGAACTGTCTCACTTCTGATCAGATACTAGCTTCATATAACTAGTCCACTTATTCAAAGAAAACTTCTAGAGCTTTCTTCAAACTAACATTAATTATAAAATCACAGTAATGCTAAATGATGAAGGTAAAGGACCTTAAAGGCTCCAATCTGATCCTGTCTGTGCCAACTGGAGATCCTTGTCATACCATTCAACTTTTGTGTAACCAGCACAATTACAGAGAAACAGTCTCTTTCTCTAGTGCAAAGTTCATCCGATTGAGAGTATCAATGACTTGCTACATGTCCAGTCTATATCACTTAAATGTGTGCAATTCTGAATGTCCTTGTGAATCCTCAGAGCTCGTGTCCTTCCATATAACACGGAAGTTTTCACTGAAACAAGATCTTTCAACTCAGCTCCCATTTAAGAAAGGTTTGATATGAGAATGAATCGGAAGTATCCATCAGTGGAACTTACTAACTATACTGAGATTCAGATAGACTCTAAGTTACATATATCTTTCTTATTTTTCAGAAATAACCACCAGCTGGAAATACCTGGTCTGAGGTACACAATGGGCAAGAAAGCATAAATGAATTCTAATGTTATTGAATGTCAAGATGCTTCATCAGAATAATGTCCAAAATTTCCATTTAAGTAGCTTTAAAACAGAAGAAATAAATTCAGAATGCAAGACTAGGCAACTATATTAAAAAAACATTTATTGCATTTTTGTTCTACACAAGGCCTATATTTTAAGCACAACCTCATGTTGAGTACATTATTTATGTCACAGAGCACATAATACATTTAGCACAGCTGTTTATGACAGCATGTTAATGAGCATATGTGCCCATTATCACAAATAAATAATCTACTTACTGTGAAACAGGGGGTTATGACAGTTTTTAGTGCTGTGAGTGCATGGTTTAAGAAAGTTAAATAAAGATTAATTTTTCTGTGACACAATTACCCTTGTTGCTCATTGGTAATTTGAGCTTTTTAAATTCTCCTTATAGCAATTATACTTAAAATATATGGCTTTGAAATAATGAAACCTCTTTGATTTCAGGAACTTGCATTACTTAATATTTTAGAAAAGACAGACCCAAGTGAAAAGTGTTATTGAGAATTGACAAATGATTTAATGTCAGTTTCAGCTGATACGAAGAACAGGCTGTCTCTGACCTCTTGTAAAGCACTTGATGTGTATAAGAAATAATCCATTAATGTATCAACTACTGGCTTTGATGTAGATAACAAATTCTTATTCTCTATTACCAAGTTTGGAAAATAGATAGTGGGGGCCTTTAACTGAGGAATTACAAAGATAATACAAGGGGAGAGGGAAGGGAAATAATAAACACTAAGAATGTTTGGAGAAACCATACAGAAACACAATATTCTATAGTTATTTTAAATTACATATATATATATACATATATATATGGAGATATATATGGAGTTATGCCACATGTGGTAGTGGTAGCTCCATTACAAGCCATGTCCTATCTAACAAAACCCTCAGACTCAGGCATGGGAAATCTACTATCCCTCCTGTTGTAGAATGGAGTACAAAATAATATGGGTCATATTTATGTCCCTTACTAGTTGTGATGGTTTAAATGATAAATGTCTCTCAAAGGCTTTGGTATTTGAATAATTGGTCCATATCTGATGGTGCTGTCTGACAAGCCATAGGAGGTATGGTCTTGCTAGAAGAAATAAGTTACTGGGGGTGGTCTCTGAGGGATGACAGCCTCACTTGACTTCCTCTTTTCTTTGTGCTTAGAGTTGACTTGGTGGTTCTCAGCTTCCTGTTCTTGCAGCCTTGTCTGCCACTTGCTACTATTCCTGCCCTTCCACAATGGATTCTTACTCCTGTAGAACTATAGGGCAAAATAGAAACTTCCAGAATTAAGGTGCCTCTGTTTATGGTATTTTATCACAGAAACAGGAAACTAACTAATGAAGTTGCCTTCCAGGATGTAAGAACCTCTTGTTGAAGATGCCACACAGTTTGAACATAGAATGTAGAGAGATTGACCTGGAACTGACCTAAAAGGCCTCAACACTGAGCACTGGTTCTCACAATGTCACAAGGTACTACTCAAGCTGCCAAAGGAGATGAAGACTCAGTAGTCTTTCCCAGATGTGCAGCCTAAGAACCAGAGCAATGACTGGCCTAGCAAGATACTCAGAACAGTACAAAATTAACACTTACAGCTGTCTACTTACACTGACCACTGTCTAATTAAAAGGCCTGCTCAATGTGAGGGAAATCGTGCCTGAATCCTTAAACTTCCACAACTACCCACAGTGGGAGAGGTCCCAGATCTGAGAGGAGAACATACTATTGAAATTTTTCTAAGCCACATGAAATTCTAACTATTATAAATAGGTTTCCTTATACCCACTGGTAAGTACAGTTTTCACCCATGTAACAAGTTTCTTTTTGCAACAAATGGAGACTCCTACACAGAGACACAACTGCTCAGAATGCAGAGAAAAAGAGACCAATAGGTTCCCTATCACAACTGATACATCTAAAACTCACATCCCTCACCAAAATCTCAGGAAAATAAATCACAGAAGAAGGGGAAAGAAAGATTATAAGAGATAGGGGTCCAGGATGTCATATTCTAGAACATTTCTCCAAGGCATAATAGGGAAAAATGCACCTAGGAAACAAAAGCAATATATCTCATGAACAAGTCTGTCAAATGACATTACTTGACATGCCAGTAGGGGTAGGGAAAATTCCACATAATCCCACTCCTAGAAGAAGATCTGTAAGAAGTCAGTGGCTACTGAGAATGGGACAAAGGGGCCCAAACTGACTATGGGATGAGGTGGGTCAGAAAAATCAGATGTTCTCCTGCATCTCTGTTCACCTTCTTCTTTCTCAGCAACAAGGACAACTCCAAGTCAACCTTGCAACTATGCCATACCTCACCATGCTGTATTGTAAATTCCTCTGAATTGTGAGCAAAAATGAATTATTCCTCACTAATTTTTTGTGTGTTTGGTTTTGGTTTCTTTGTGTGGGGGCAGGTACTTAATTATAGCAAAAAATAGAGTATAACTTCCAAGGACTTTTAAGTTATGTTGAGTGTCTAGAGGAGGAAAATGTCTTCAACCCGTTTTTAGAAACTCCTCCAAATAATCAAGTGTTAAAACTGTTTCTGTAAATGTATGTCTTTGTGCTTTATCTCCTTATCATGTTTTTGCTCATTTCAAAGCCCAGTGAGCCACAGGGGCAGTCTAACCTAGAATGGATTTTTAGGTATGACATTTTATCTACAATATCAAACATGGTTGAGTATGAAAAAAATCCCCCATAGAGTCAGAAATCCTATTCTGATTCCACAATGTAAAAGCTTGTAGTTAAGACAATGAAAGGTAAAAGAAAAATTGATGAAAAGTAGCATGGACGTGAAAAGAAGTTCCTGAAAGAGCCTGAGATTAGAAAATGTCACACAAATCCCCATAGAACCTGCTAT